TTAGGAAATGGAATAAAATTACATTGCCTATCCTCTCAGGATACCTGGAATTAGTGTTACAAGTACCCTAGGCACATCGTTTTTCCATTTTTTATAGCATAAACACCATTAAACCGATGCGAGCTTCGGATCTTCCAATGTTTCTCTATGGCGCTGAAACCTAAAGATGTCCGAGTTCCGCTCCCCGTGCAACTGATACTCGACTGCCATTGGCTCATCAGCGTTCGAAGGGAGGGGCTTACCGATAGGTCAATTGTGACTCTCGCTTATCACTTGTAGAATTGTCGCCACCTACTGGCGTAACAATATAACGTGCAGAAAGAGCAACTATAAAATACATACTACTAATGCACAGCCTACCTGGAAAGCTTAGCCAACCATTTTAATTCAGTTTTTTATTATAATAATTTAAAGCATAAATTCTAATATGAGGAGACATTAACATTAGCAATACTTTTTGGTGTTTCTTTTGGGATTCTCAAAACACCCATTTATTTGTGTGAATAAATCACAGCACCAAGCACAGAGCTCAAAACAAAAATCAGATTATAATGTGCCATTTTCATCAGCCATTTCATTAGTGTCGGAACGGCAAGTTTGCTTAACTGTTTATGCATACTGTAGATTGTGTTCATTAATCAGATCTGCTAAACTCCCTTGAGCTGTAATGTAAAAAAAATATTTTGTCAGAGGCAGAAAGTCAGCTAGACTTCTGAAGTCTAATTGTAAATTGAATGTTTACATAATCCACTCAGCATTCACCAGGGCCACTGTGGAAATCACAAAAGCCTTTTGATTAGTGCTGTACCTTTTTATTTCTAGGCATTGTTACAATGTCTCATCAAAGACTGTTTGGAATGTTCTTGGAGACTGATGGACAAAAACACATCTCGCTACTGAAGTGTGATGAGGAGCTCATAGAGGGCTTAGTGCAAGAAATAAAACAGTAAACCCATACATAAATCAAGAGAAATCCCAGAATTTCCCCCAAGGAGAAACTTTAAAAAGAACAATGAGATACAAACACTTTAATGCTCCCAGGCCAGAAAAACTGAATAACAGTCTCTCTTTTGTTTAATTATTCATGATGATGTGAGTTTTTTTTTTTTCTTTAATCTTCTGTGCAGACTGCAACTTGGCTCAAGTGGTTTAAATAGAATCTGTTTAGCTGTGAAAAAAAAAACACTCACGTATTAAAGTACGGAAACACTGCAAGTCTCATGGTGGTTTCACCTCAGAACTAAACACGAGTACAGTCTGATTCAACTCAAAACACTACTGTGCTTTATGGCTTTCTATTCCTATGTGATTTTGATATGGCGTCTCATGTAGGGTTCAAAGCCATTAGGTACAGAGTGGCTTATCAGCAGTGGATATAATCAATCCAGTATATATCCAGAGCAATCGCTACTACACATTTGTTGCAGTTCAGGCACAATTGTCTGTTGAACTAACATGGGCTATAAAACAGGACAGGAGAGCTGAGATGTTTCATTTACAAGAAATACACAGCAACATAATAATGCCTAAATAGATAGCAGTGTTATTGTTTACCAGAGTGTCAGTTTTGAATGTTAAACATGCAATTTGCTGCTCCAGTCTCAGGCGGTCTGGGTGAGCATTAGGATGATGGTATATTCAAATTTGTCCTCCCTTGCATCATGGTTTCCTGGGTGAAGAGATGCATTCATTGGAGAATGAAAGGAGAAAAAAAATTAAACAAAAAAGATGAGAAAGAGAAACACAGAGAGACGGGGTGGGTGAGCATTAGGATGATGGTATATTCAAATTGGTCCTCCCTTGCATCATGGTTTCCTGGGAGAAGAGATGCATTCATTGGAGAATGAAAGGAGAAAAAAAATTTAACAAAAAAGATGAGAAAGAGAAACACAGAGAGACGGGGTGGGGGGAGGGACGCGGGTTATGCATGTTGATGAGCGAATGAATGCCACTAATCTGGGCAACAGGCAAAACATTGCATTTCCAGAATAGAGAAGCAGAGTGAATCGGAGTTCATCCACTAGGGATGCACCTTAGTGGTGAAACACACAGCATCTGTGCCTGCGCCTGCCAGCGGCATGAGGGAGACAGAGCGCAGTTGTGATGCACGGCACGTTTACTGTTGGCAGATCCTTCTGGACTCTTGAAGCTTATTAAAGTGGCTTGTAGTACACGATAATCCTTTTGCTAGAAGCCCTACAGAGTAATGTATCAGGCAGATATAAGTCTGGTGAATAAACAAAATGCAGTCTATAGCAAGCATGGAATTGAAACCCGACAGTGTGTGAAGAATAAGAAAATTATTTGCAGTTTGATGAGAGGCAGTTTTGATGCAGACCTTTGCCTTTTATCTGTAAAATATAGTAAAATATATATTCTATTATTCAAAATTTTCCCTTGCCATTAGGAGAAACTCTAAGATGCCATTAAATTAATATATGTTCTTTTTTTAACTTTATTATTATGTGGATCTCTGGAATTCTTATAGTAGCAGTGAATGGTTAAATAATTTTGTATGACCGATAAACGGGGTATTTCACCATGGCAGCATACCAGTGGTTGTTTTCAAATTTAAATTGACATGAAATGGATTGTGATAATTTTTTTCTTCCCTATTATTTGAGTGAAACAGATACTGGAACAAACAACAATGTTGGACTGGAGTTGATTTTGTCCATCAGATCATTGAATTTTCATGATTGGATCATTGTCATTTGATAATGGAGTGCTGCCGTAATGATGTATTTATGTAGGCCAACCCAGAAGTTAGAATCACCCTGGTTTCTGTGACTATTATTCAAAATTTTCCCTTGCCATTAGGAGAAACTCTAAGACGCCATTAAATTAATGTATGTTCTTTTTTTAACTTTATTATTATGTGGATCTCTGGAATTCTTATCGTAGCAGTGAATGGTTAAATAATTTTGTATGACCGATAAACGGGGTATTTCACCATGGCAGCATACCAGTGGTTGTTTTCAAATTTAAATTGACATGAAATGGATTGTGATAATTTTTTTCTTCCCTATTATTTGAGTGAAACAGATACTGGAACAAACAACAATGTTGGACTGGAGTTGATTTTGTCCATCAGATCATTGAATTTTCATGATTGGATCATTGTCATTTGATAATGGAGTGCTGCCGTAATGATGTATTTATGTAGGCCAACCCAGAAGTTAGAATCACCCTGGTTTCTGTGACAAAAACTCAACAGATTTTTTCCATTGGCTTTTGGATTACTGCAGACAATAATCTCTCTGTGATTAACAAAAGTTTATGATTCTTACATGTTTTGTTCATCATGATAATCTTCCCAAATTAACAATACTTTTATGATTTTAAACAAGCTACACTAAGGTCACATGACTTTGATGCCACCATCATTAATCTTCTGACAACTGACAATTGACAACAAGACAAGTAAAAGCTTTTTTAAAAAAGTGGTATCACTGATGTATTTTATGCTAAAGAATAAAATGTGAAAATATAGTGAGGCAAACAGGCTTCAGGAAGATGAAACCCGATGGAAAGCTTCAGGTTTTGGCCTATAAAAATATCTCCAAAATATCCCTGCAGCACTCTGTGATCTCATGTGAGCCACAAGTTGTTGTTTATGTTAAAAGATTATGAGTAACATGAATAAAAAACACTGGTATATTCCAGATTTTTTCCATTGGCTTTTGGATTACTGCAGAAAATAATCTCTGTGATTAACAAAAGTTTATGATTCTTACATGTTTTGTTCATCATGATAATCTTCCCAAATTAACAATACTTTTATGATTTTAAACAAGCTACACTAAGGTCACATGACTTTGATGCCACCATCATTAATCTTCTGACAACTGACAATTGACAACAAGACAAGTAAAAGCTTTTTTAAAAAAGTGGTATCACTGATGTATTTTATGCTAAAGAATAAAATGTGAAAATATAGTGAGGCAAACAGGCTTCAGGAAGATGAAACCCGATGGAAAGCTTCAGGTTTTGGCCTATAAAAATATCTCCAAAATATCCCTGCAGCACTCTGTGATCTCATGTGAGCCACAAGTTGTTGTTTATGTTAAAAGATTATGAGTAACATGAATAAAAAAACACTGGTATATTCCATAAAAAATAAGACTGTCAGATTTTATTTCATTAATGCAAGCTTAGACAATGGACTTTTTTTTACTGAGCTTTATGCTAATCTAACGTACACTTATCTTATTCTAATCTAAAGTAAAAAAAAATAAAAAATACAATAATTTCATGTAGCCTATTTATTTTTTGGGTAAGTATGCAGTCCAGTGAAAAGAAGGATGATGTGCAGTCAGCAGGTCATTATCACTTTACATATCAAATTTAAATCAATTTTATGGTTAAAATACGTAAACACTGACGATAAAAATATATTTTTGCAGTTCGCATTTCATTGAAGAAATGGCGGGAAAACATCCAACCCGTGACGTTGTCAGTAATCATCAGAGGACGTCGCGTGAGCGCTCACCGCGCCGACATTGAAATACTATTCAGGTAAAGCGGCCTCATTAAGGCTTGTTTAAAGCACTATTTTGTTCTTTGTCCCATGTAAATCGCACAACAGCTTCTAACAAGGTGAGTTTGCAAATATAATCGACTTTATTAATTAATTCACACATTAAACAAGCCACTTGTTTGCACGCTAAAACATTAACGTTAAGTTACATGACCAAACACACTAGATTTCTGTTTAACACATGCAGCCTACATGAGTTATTCACCTTAAATATGAATTAATATCCGCGTATATAGTCTACCGTGTCTTCTCTGTTGATTTAAATTCGGAAATTCGTGTCTGGTATTTTTCACGGCCACATGAATGAATCAAAAGGCGTTTCTGTGAGCACATAGGGAGACCCCTGTGAACAGCTGTTGGTGGTGGTGGTGACACGGCTGTGGGACACTCAAAACCTAACTTGGTGAGCTTACTACTTAGACAGTTTTCTGGAGAACAAAGCCGACGTTTCGTTCACAGAACATCGGAAATCATTTCTTTAGGGCCTGTGTTTTCAAATGCATTAGCTTTCCACACCTGACATGCCGGTGTTTGTGGAAGACCCCGCTCTCTTCTCCAAAGAGAGGCTAGAGTCGGAGCTCATAGCGCATAATGTGGATCTACCTCCACCGGAGAGCAAGAAACACGCTTATGTGGAGCTTTATCTCAAACATGAGAGGACAAACAGCACAGATTTCTCTAGCGATGAAGAGGAGGGTCATCTCACTGGCAGCGTGAGTTAAAGAAAGACGCCGCTTTACCAGCTGTAGAGGTCACGTTATTAAACTTCATTCCTGGAGACTGTCTTTCTGCGATTGACAAGGTTTTTCACATCTTGCAGACTGAATTTGAAGGATTCCCCAAAAAATCTTTCCATATCCGCACTTGTCTGTCCAACAGTTTGACACAAGGTGGCTTGATTGAAATAGATTTGATTTGTGCTGTGAATATTCATACCCATATGTTCTTTGCTTTCAAGCTGTTGAGAGGTTTGTAGGTCATTGCCTGTCGGCTCCCAACTGCAGTGAAATACAGATAAAGCATGCATGCTTCTCAAAACATCAAAGACTGTTCTGTCAAAATGGGGAATTATTATTTTTTTCCTTGAGAGTGAAACATGATTCCTTAGAGTTGTAGAATAAAGCTCCAGCTGTCTCACACACACTCGCTGGCAGTGCTTAGCACCACTGCAGGTGTGTGTGTGTGGGTCAGGGGGGCCCTCAATGGGTGCTGGGGAATCTGGGTCAGAGCCATCTTAGACTTGGGTGTCGAATTCTCAGTTTATGATTAGACGTGTTTAATGACCAAAAGTGATAACCAAAGTGGTGTTGCCCTAGAAAGTAGCAGGTCTTTGCCAGATTCATGAGTTGGCCATTTTATATTTTGCATTAAAGCTAGTACTTTTGAATCGGTCTGTTACTGGTGCAAATTTACCGTAGTTAGTTATAAGTGAATGTTAGGAACTTTTTGAAGGGTGAGCAATTGTAGAAAACCCAGCACTCGGTGCATTTAAGATTTGAGAAGATTTATCACAACATGCATATTGTTTAAATTGATTATCATTTTGTGGATTGACAGTGCATGTACACAATGATTGCTATAGGAAATGAAATCCAAGCTGTTTGTGACTATATCTAGTATTGATAACTAAACCTGTTAATATGATTTCCATTAATTTAAATATAAATATTAGATGAAAACTTGAGCTTAAATGAAAATAATGTTGCATTGGCAACTAACTGAAATAAATCGTTTAAGCACTAAAATCACACACGCACAAAAAAAACTAAAACTGGAATAAAAATAAATTGTATAAACTATAAAATTACTAAGACTTATAAATGAAAATGTAAACTGAAAATATAAAAATCGAAATATGAAAAAATACTATACTAGTGTATAAACAATACTAAAAATAACATTCTTTTATATGCTGTGTATGTGCATATATATTATCCCATACATATCTAATTTGTTTTTAAGTTTCTGATTTATGTGACTCAGTTATGCGTCAGTGTATGTAAATGTTTGGTTTAACTTGGCTAACAGTCGGCTTATTTAGGCTCATTAGCTGAAAGTAGCAGTCTAGTTCATTCCAAACTGCTGGAAAAATGATGGATAATATTGGTGGCTCAAGGCAAGATCAGTGAAGTCTATTAGCAAATGAGACTATTAGGTTGTCTGCAATTTGTTTTATAGTTGGAGTGGTCTGCCGCCTGTAAGTTTGAGGAACAAAGTGCTAAAGGGATTTTTGACTAAATGTTACAATGAAATGGCTCAGATAAATGCCGTCTGTTCTGAGCCATCATCACTGCTGTGCATTTTACATAATGCACACCTCAAATATTTGTCCAGCATCATTCTTTTTCATTTTTGTTCAGTTGTTCACTTTTTTTCAGTTTGTCACGAATGTGTTGACTTTCCAATTCCATCTGGACTCACACTTTATTTAATCACTATCTTTTTATTTTGTGCAAAGCATTTTTGCTCAATTCTGCTAAAAAGTGAAGAAGTTTCTTCAGCCTGAGGTTGGTTGGGAAACTGCAACAGCAGCTAATATTGGATGTGACCCCTTTTCAGAACGTGTCGGTGCAAGATGCAAAGGAGAGAAAGCCTCAAAACAAGAGTCTGTTGAGGATTGCGTGAGCCGAGGTTCACCCTTTGGCAAGCTAGTGTCAGCGTATGTTTATTAGATTATGCTAAAATGTGCTGATTCCTCGCTCCACCATGATGAATCGCTGTAATTTCACTGCCTTGACAGGATTTTTTTTATTAAATAGTTTGTTGTGTGTGTATTTCACTGTACAGGCCGAGAAGGAAGAGGCAGCAAAAATGGTAGACCTGGGCTTACTGACTGATGATCAGCTAAAAGCCAAACTGCTCCAGTATGGAGTCAAAGCTGGACCCATTGTAGGTTAGTCTTTTTGAGTCACAGTCCTTTCCTTTCAAAACTGAAAATGCAATAAATTCAGCGTGTTCTTATGGTGTCTGTGTGTATGTTTTGAGCAGCTTCCACTAGAGCTTTATATGAAAAGAAGCTGAAAAGGCTGCTGGATTCTTCAGCACAGGCATCACAGCACAGGGTCAATGGCATAAGGGATGCAGGCCTCTACTCGGACAATGAGGAAGAGGACTCCGGTAAGGAGCAGCATTGACTCTTGAATAGTCTTTGGGTTGCCTGAATGACTGAGCCATTAATAACAAAACCATGAATGATTAGGCTTGTTTGGGTTCACCTGACCCCAATTAGAGGTGTTTACAACCTCATATAGGATGTGCACAAAATGCTGTTTGCATGTTAACTAGGGATGCACCGATACCACTTTTTTTCAGAACGAGACCGATACTTTCATTTTTGGTACTTGCCGATACCGATACCTGTATTTTCACAGCATTTGTCATTTTTTACAAATATTGGGTACAGAGACAAAATAATAATGATAAGAAGAAGAAGAATCATGTTAGTTGGCTTCATTTAGCAAACAGATATTTCCACACTTAATTATACCTGTTAAAATGTATTGTATAAGCTTTGGTTACTTTCACTGTTCATTTTAATGACGCATTAGAGCTGCTCCATTGCAGCAGCTCAATACTGTAATCATAAAACATTTTCTTAAAATAATGCAGGGAACCACATTATATGAGTACGCGCGTACTATTTTGGTGATGTAATTTGCGTCACGCGCACTGTATGCGGACCCTCGCATATGAATAAAACCCATAATTCTAAAGCAAGCTAAACACGTTTGCATTGGTGCAGAATGAGAGAGACACTTATAGCCTAGCGCATGTCACACAGTCTGCTAGTTTCACTTTTGTTTTAATCGTGTATGCTTGACGTTTAAAATAAATGTTGTTTATAGTGAATGCCCCTATAATTTTTGTTTGTTTTATATATTCAAATGTATGCGCTATTACCGTCAAATAACTTTAGAAACTTGTGCACTTTTGCTTGCTTGCTTTTGACACATCCGACAGAACTACAAACTTTCCAGTGATGTCTGTGAGATATTCACTCGACAAGCTCGCACATCTGTGCCGCCGCGCGCTCAATCCACTCAGCGTACTCTGCTTATCAGCTCGCGCACATCCGCTATACAGGCATGAATATTGAATGTTTAACATTATATTTATTACTTGCATGTACTTCATAGACATCCTTAATCTCTAATAACTCCATTCTACTCTCTGTTGTTCTGTTGTCAGTGTTTCTTTTTCTGGACACAGCTCTGTTCACAAGCTGTGTAGTATCGGCTTTTGGTATCGGGGCATTTTTACGAGTACGAGTACAGGAGCGCAGTATCGGTGCATCCGTAATGTTAACTAAAGAAGTGGCTCTAAAATGATCTAAACTAACTTCTGAAGACTGGATGTCTTGTGGCCCATCACTAAGTTATAGTCATTTTATTGGCTATTTCATATAAAGGCTGTGTGTCTATTACTGTTGTTGCTGGTTATACATGTTTTACATGTTTATTTAGAGTCAGAGCAGCTTCGGTCTGAAACGATGGCCCGGACAGAGACCAGCAAAACAGCAAGCAAAGTAAGTGGCTTTACATGCACCTCAATCCATCCTTTGTTCCCCCCTGAGACTTAAACATGATTCATCCATTATCTCCACTGCCTGTTCATGTTCTGCTATGAGTGTATTAGGGATGTAACGGTATGAAAATTTCATATCACGGTTATAGTGACCAAAGTTATCACGGTTATCAATATTATCTGATTTCGAGTTTTTTGATTGATTTCAAGATCAAAGTTGGGGTTGATTTCGAGTTCACATACAAACATAAATAGAATAGGCTAGTGTATGTTGGTCATTAACATGAGCAGAAGTTGTTGCTTGAATCTTTCTGTGTAGGTCAACAACCAGCTGTCTGTCAGTTTGGTTGTGTAACGTCATAAATTATGTATGAGACGGACACTTTTGATGTATCATAGAAGCACTTGATGGTAACTCAAGCTGATTTGTTGGCATGATGAGTTTAAAGCTGAAGTGTGTAATTTCAGTGCCTCTAGCATCCCAAAATGCTGTGATAAATAATGACAAACAAGATAATCCTGCCCTAAAGAGCCAATGCTGCTATGTTGGCCTGCTCAGGATACATCAAGGTTCCTAATCTTAAATTCCGTTCTATAAAATATGAGGTTATAAGTCTTAAAATGGCATGAAATTAAAAATCAAAATATCTATTTTATAAATACATGTTCATAAATACATTTTGGTGACTGTGTGTATTAACACAAACCATTTTCAGTACATATTGAATAATACATGTCTTGAGTATTTTACATTTGCAGTTACCCTGTTTTGCTGATTAGCAGTGTGAAGTCCTCATTAAATGTGTGCCGCAGCCTGTTTAATTAAGCAAAAGATTCTAACATTTGAGAGAGTTTCTTAATTATTTGTTTTGAGGTTATGTCAGTTTGTTCTGAAAGGACAGTATTTTTGTTATTTGTGCAGATCTCAAAAGGGTCTTCAAAAAAGCCTTAATTTTGATTTGACAAATCCTGCAGATAGCCTTTAATCAAACTGAGCAGTTGGTGCTGTGCATCTATAGCCACCTAAGTAGAAAAGGCATATATTGGTATTTTTGTCATTATTCTTAAGAAAGTAGCTTTAGCTAAATAAATGTCAATTTTGAGCCATTTTCCTTCGATTTCCTCTTTGCAGCTATTTTGTATGGGCTTTATTCAATTTCTGCAACTTGCATCTAACCTAATTGCACCCACACACCAAAGAGAGGCAAGCTCTACAAACAGAACAATGTTTAGCACTGCAGAGCCTCATTGTTTCAACCTACAAGAAGTTGTTTCTGCTTATTAAGCTGGGCAGGGAAAAAAACATAAAAATTGATGTTGCAGTTTAATGTCTCAATATGTTTTTCAGTAGTGTGAACAATGGTACCACTCTGTGGTTAAAATTGGTATGGCATTAAATTGCAATATATGTCATACTGCAATTTTTACATCCACAGACAGGGACCTTCAGTCAGAGCAGAGATTTTTACCCACGCTGCTTTGTGCCCTCAGCTGGATTCATAAATGTACAGTATGAACATTTCCATTTTGGCACAGATGGCACAGGGATGCTTTTCTGCAGGGGATAAGGGGGTCGACAGCACTGTAATTTTGTTTCTTCCACAGATTGTTTTGTGCTGTGAACAATTTTGCACCTTTTTTTTTTTTTTTGCACTTATTGGTTTTTAGAAAACATTGGATTCCATTGCACTGAAGAATTGTGGGCTTTTGGTGCGGCAACTGATTGACTGTTCGAGATGTCAATGCTTTTCAGTTCTGCTTATTCAGTTTAGTTCACTTGCAGGGAAAGATTCAGCACAAGTCTTCAAACGCCACCCAGAATGGGTCTTTGAGTCAAAGCGGGTCCCCGTACAGATCCTTCAGCATCACTCAGATGGTGGAACAGGGGAGTGTGTGTGTGTGTGTGTGTTTAAACTGAGAATCTCAATTTTGGGATGATTGTCAGTGGTTTTGTTTTGGTCTGTAAGTTATGTGAGTCTTGGGGGTTTATTTTTGCTGTGGGATTGTATTTTTGTCAACAGATTGAGACCAGATTCAGTCCTCAGTCAAAACAAACAGAGATTGAGAGGCGATCTGGTCAGAGAAGCGAGCAGATGGTGGACAGCAGGGCCCTGCGGGTTTGTGGCTACAGATATGTTTGCTTTAACAGCATCACTCAACAAATCTAACAAAAGATCTGGTTTTCTCATCAGGACTTCATGAGACTGGATAAAGACACCATGACTGGCAGATCTCTTTGTTTAACGTCTCCATCATTCCATCAGAAACAAACTGTCACAGTAACTGCTTTTTCCCCCCTCAGCCTTCCTCTTCTCTCCTCAGGGTCTGCCTCTTCGTTTATCCTCACTCTTTCAGTGGATGTTTAATTCAGAAGACATGCTTCATTGCCAGACATCTAATGGGCTTTCACACTCCCTCTGTCCTTTGGGAAATGCTTCTGAGTTCTCTTTAGTTTCTTCCTTTTCTCCCTTTATTGCACTGGCTTTCCAGATGTGAGAGCTCTACCCCCTGTGAAATGTACAAAGGAAAAAGCCAGGAAAATGCATCTTTTTAATTTTAGAGAGATGGTATTTTTTTTTTATTCCTCTCTTATTTTAGGTAAAAAGGTAGTGTAAAGTTTAACCACAGCGTTGATGTTTGGTAGATCAGACCGAGAAAAGAGCTTATAAGTTCTATCAAAGGCCTGGCATTCTTGTTTCTGACTCATGTTTCTTAGATGTTAATGCTGCGCACATGAATGCAGATCACATGATGCTTAAGCCCTGTACGGCTGAGCTGCACTGTTACACTCTTCATCTTGTACCATATTTCAATCCAGAAGCATTAGGAAAAAGTTACTGAAATGTAGGGTTGGGTATCGTTTGAATTTGATCTATTCCGATTCTTATCGATTCCTAGTTTCGATTCCAATAAGATAAAAAATCCAATATAAAAAAAATTAAGTCAAACATGTATTCTGTCTTTTTACAAAGCATTCTGTTGCAGCTGAATAACACGAGCAAAAATCAGCAGCCTACAGAACACTGCAAGAGGAATTTTGCCTATGCTTTTAAAAAAAAATACCACAGCAAAAACAACTAGATTAATATAAATTTCAAATATTAAAGTGTTAAAGACAAGTAAACAGTCAGTAATAAGATAGGAACAAACAAATCAATTAGCAATATCATAAATAAATACAACTGAACAAAATTTCAGGTACAGAAACTGTAATTAAAAGTTTAAAAACACTGCATAGTTTTCTTTTCATAAATAAAACAGATTAATCAATTAAAGTTATTAAATATATTCAGTCAAGATCAGTGAACGATTTTCTTTTGTTCTTTGATTAACATTAATGACAGGCAGCACGTTTATTAGGTTGCTGTCTCTTTTAACACCGAACGCACGCAGATCTAAAAATACTGTACATGTGTGTTTTCTTTCTCATCTGTTTACGTTCACGTAAGACAAAAACGGCTGTGTTTATGATGATATACTGACGTAGTTTTCTGCATATTGGTCGACAAATATGAAAGAAGTCAGTTTCGGCCCGGAACAACCTTTTCTACAGTGGAAATACACGGAACGGTTCGAGAACGGACACAAACCGGGAACCCGTACCGCGACCTCTATTCTCTGTGCTCGCGCTTGCGCTTCATGTGCGCTGCACGCAAACAGAGCGCAAGTTCTTTCCGTTCCTGCACTTAAATCGCATGCACTTAAATATTTTTTAATCACATTAAAATGCGAACGCAGGAATCGTTAAGCAGAATCGAAATGCACGCGTCTTATCGAATACCCGGTTCTTG